CATGATTAATTGTTCATCAATACCAGCTTGAAATAGTCTAATAGCAGCAGTCATGCCGCGAAGTGAGTGGTTTGTTTGTAACCATCGATTCCCCAGTTGCTGCAGCAAACATTTTAAACAGTATTTCTCCATTAAGAAGAGTGGCCTGGTTGAAGCTTCTCCAAATCTTTCATTCTTTCCTTGCACCAGTCATTCAGAATATTTTCTACCCATTATATTGCTTTTTTAGTTGTGCATGGCACACAGTGCTGTTGTGCATCTTTAAATCCTTGTCCCGTGCGAAACAAGATGGTATATAGCACTAAATGAGTAGGCGGGGCAGTCATAAAATGATGAGATAGGCGTTTCCAGAGCTATCAATGGCGGCCGTGTTAGTCGCATCTTTTGAGAACAGATGAGCATGTCTACCTAGTTGCTTTTCCATTCTAGTGCGTGACTTAAAATGAATTGGTTGCTAATGGTAAGGATTTTTATACTTTTTGTGTATCCTAGCTACAAAAAATGCATCTAATCTGATTGGACGCATGGTAGAACACGGTTATACACCTCGGTCTCGGTTTCTATGGCATTTATTGACCTCGGGACTGCGTCCGTCGGTCAATAAATTCCATAGAAACCTCGACCTCGGTGTATAACCTATACTTATTGTCTTGTGATTTCAATGTTTATTGTCGATCATAATTATGATTTCGATGTCTGCATGACATGCCATGTGCATGTTAGTATGTATCAGCCTGTACATGATAACGTAGGACTTCCTTTATCAGTTAATGATATTCATAATCATTGTGGCTTATGAGTTATGAAAAAAATGTGTGAAAATGTGTGAATTATAACTAGGTGAATGTAAACATTGTGGGGGCGAGCATGAGCCATCAATTAACAACTGAAATAAGATTGAACTAAATAAAAATAAATCCAGCTCTGAGCCTGCATGCATATTCATACCCTGGCCTCATGGCCGGGGTCTGAAATATCTTCTAATAATGGCAACTTCCACATCTAGAGTGGTATGACTAACTAGCACAGCTTGATTTAAGGTTTTTCACTGTCCCTGCTACATCAGCACCATGTGAACGTGTTTTCAGTCTAGCAGGACAGTGTTTCTCATTAAGAATTTGGATTAGTATATGCATGTATAATGTGATTTTACAATGACTACAATGTACAATAACTACAATGACTAAGTACAATGACTACATCCTTAAATAAATCATTGTATTTCCACATGTAAACCCTATGGCTAAACTATCGTGATATCAGAGTTACTAAATATCATGATAGTGATATTACTACTATCGCCCAGGCCTAATATAATGTGGTATTGACATTTATCAATATTGAAATATATTGAAGGAAAATATTGATAACCTGACCATGCCCACATAAAGGTTACATAATCTTAATAATGCTTAATTAACTATAGCAGTAATATTTCTGAAATTATTAAACTATTCTACTTTGGAAAGCAGATGAAGTAACTGAAGTACATGTACATCAAACCAAGGTGTTCTCAGAAATAGCTTCATATAGCCGTTTTAGTAATATTAAAGTTAATGGGCGTGGCTTAATAACTTATCGATAATAGATCGATTTTTCATTTTTCAGCAATTATTATAAATCCAGGAGCCAAGAACTCAAACTCCCATTCATTTACATGTTCTGATTAATTTTTATGTGCATGTTTCTTCATACTTTAATGATGTCAATATAAATAACAGTACTGTACATCTACATTGTACATGTAGTTCGTTTTCACATTAGAAATTGATTAAATGCATGGTATTTATGTAGATGTACCTCCATATTATAATTACTATTTTGCATTAAATTGTGTGTTAAATTTTGATGTTTTTATTTTGAGTTGACCTAGCTGGCATTTTTGCAAGTAATGCAGGCAACTTATTTCAATGCAATTTTGTTTGTCTGACATCTAGATCACTGATGTCAGATTGTTATTCCTTAATTTAGTACACTGAATTAGTTGATAGTGAACTTAATGTATTATTGAAATGTGATTATGCTCTTCCTCTCTGTAAAGTCTTTTTTTTCTAGCATCACTTTTGTTAATGTAAACATTACATGTATGATTAGAAAGAGAGAAGGAAGTGTGCCTTTTTGAGTCTGAAAATTGTGAATGTGTGGTTGTTTGTGTGTGAGTGTAATATTAGGTGTACCGTATACCAGTTTATTTTCGCGGTGGAAAATTTTTGTGAATCTTGGATTTCTAAGATTTCGCTGAATTAATTTTCGTAAATTGCTTGCAGACTGCACCACGTGGCAATAGAGCTCAGAATTTTGTGGGGAAAAATTTGCGCGAATAATCACAAACCGCGAAATTTGCAAAAATATTTTGCCACAAAAATAAACCGGTATACAGTATGTACAGTACATGAATTTGAAGTACTTACCACCAAGAGTAGCCACATATACATATAGTACATTTACAATTACATCATTACATGTACATTGTATGAGGTGCAACAGTTCTAGAAACCAGTAGGCTTCTCTAGTATACCGTATATTGGGAAATTTTTACATCGTTTTATTTTTACAATTTGCAATGAAATAACATTTTCACAAATATTATTTTCATGATTGGGCTCCGATCCGGATATCCGCCTGACACATGCTTAAATTTTTGTGAAAGTTAAATTTTGCGACAAGGAATTAATTCGGGAAATTCGCAAAAAATTTTCGACGTAAAAATTTCCCCATATATGGTACACTATCCTCCTTATAGGAGGAGCTATAAACTAACAATTGTGAGGTGTTATGGTAGAACAACAGCAGGTGTCTCTGGAGGTGATACATAATGCATATACATGTAGGTCTGTTCAGCTACCTATTTAACTGATAGCTAATATAGCTTTGGATTCCTGAGGTACAGTGTAGCTATATAATGTATTCTTCCTCCTTCTTTGAGTCAGAGGTTACAGTTAAGGTTTAATGACACTCAGTACCAGTTGAATATTTATGGGACATAATTGCCTAATGTTAGTAATGTACTGTACCTACTGCTATTAGGCGTGTCAAGCAATTCAAGTGCCTCCCACTATTGCTTTCCCTTTCTTTTTATTGATAGTTACTATATACCAAAATACAAAATAACAAAAGTCACTGTGTGTCAAAAACTCAAAATACTAATAGCAAAAAGTGCCTATAACTTGTTCACTAAATGAAGAAACAATGATAAGTACTGTTCACTAGTCACTATACTCACTACATGCACACAATAGCTAATCTATTGGAGCATTAAAGCTTAAGCTTCTCTTAATTTACATCAGAGGAATGATCAGATGAATCCTCCAGGGGCTCAAATAGCTTTTCAGGCGGTATAATGATTTCATTCTCGCCATCATTCATTCGTCGCAAAGCCTCATAATTAGTGGGCGGTATAACCAGTAAACCGCCACCTCCCTGATCATCAATTGCTTCAACTGGGGTGTCTTCTTCCCATGGTGCAGCTTCATGAGCACTCGAAGCTCCAGGTACCACCCACTCTCCTTTATTGGATATCTCTGGGAGTTTGTTACTTCCCAAGACCCACTCATTATGACTGAAATCATTATCAGTAGATGAGGCTGCTATGAAATCAGCAACAGTAGCTGTAGAGGCACTTGTGGTCTGTATTGGAGAATGGTCACTTGTTTTAAAATCCCGTATTTTGTTGCTAGTGGGAAAAGGCTGTGTGATGTAATCCCCCACTCTCAGAACTTCTGCTTCAGGGAGAGAAGTAGGCTCATCTGAATCATCTAATTCTGCCTCATTTTCATCTGCAACTACTGTACTCTGTAGATATGCTACGGCATAATATAGCGCAAGGATCTGGGCATTCTCTTCTCCGGCAGTGGTACTGGTGGTTCCAGTGTCCTCTACTTGAAGCTCAATGCTTGGGTCCGCTGGTGTTGATGAGAGGTTTGGTGGCTGATCAATTGTTTGATTCCCTTCAGCAGAGATTGTTAGTTCTTAATCTAAAAGGAAAAATGAGGAAGTGGAATGTTTTGGCACATTCAAGATAATTGGGATAATACAGTTGTGATATAGTATGATAACATTAGAATCTACAATGCACACATGTAACAGTAATTGTAAATTGTAATTAACAGTTACAAAAAAAGAATGTATAACAGTATATTTTGTATAGCTGGTGTATTCGTGTAAAATGAGAGTTAATTTGTGCATTTTATTAAAGGGACACATGCACGGAAGCACGTCATCTTGAAAAACTGGCCCGTTTTTCAAGATGACATCATTAATGATGACGTTTAGTGTTGATAACTATTCATAACGTGCGGCTGCGCCCCTAATAATTAAGGCAAAATGGCTACTCGAGTGGCTACTTGTAAATATTCCTGGTGTTTCTTCACTAAAAAGAGTATCTTGGGGTGGCAAAAGAGCTAATTCTGTTCGAGAGAAGTGTTCTACAGATGCCTACTCCCGGTTCTGCGACTGATTGCTGTCTCTACTCTCTACGCGTGTCTAAACACGTGTCATAACTATTAATTAATGATCTGTTGCACGCCCAATTTAATGTTTACTTCCTCTACAGTAACGTGTGCATTCTATTTCCGTGAACGTGTCCCTTTAACTTCAAAATTTAGGCCCTGAGATACTGTTATTTTAACTATCATGATATTTATCTTGTGTGCATGGAACATGATAATTGACAATTTACAGCTGAAATCATCTTCTAATTAATTTGGCAGTTTGGCACCTTCCTCCACTCTAGTGGCTGTGAGTCAAGGAAGGTATCCTTTACTACTACAGCTTGCTTCAAGCCCTTGCTACATGTAAACGTGTTTTTAGTATAGCAGGACAGTGTTTCTTGAACTTTGTATTATGTACTAGCTAGTACATGTTTTACAAATTAATATTACATGCATTGCTATGTGCAATGACTGAATTCTTAAATACATGTACATGTCATGTACATTGTAAATCATTGTATTTTCCACATGTAAATGCAATGGCTAAACTATCATGATAATTGATTTCAGTAGTAACAATGTACATGGGCGTATGTGGCAAAAGTAATATAATTATACATGTACATATACAACAGTACATTCAATGTGTATTCATGTGTCTTCACTGTCTTGTAACTTTGTATATTACAAACAGCTACTTGTAAACATTGTTTATTAAGCTCTGTTTATTTGTTTATTCTGAATTTTTACCTGTAGTGGCACGTTGATCTTGAGCCTCACATTCTTTACTACATAAAAATAAATGACAAGTATACATATACATATACATGTAGTAACATTTGGCAATTTCCTAAAACCAGAAGTTCTTGAAATTAGATGCCGTAACATGTACAGGGGACAGTTTTATTTTTTAAATTGGCTTCTCTCCTTTTTGTGAAAAGTTACACGTAGACATGCTGACATTTTCTAAATATGCATGTAACTTACTTTTTTTTAAAATTCCTTGTCAGAACTCATCACTCCTTTTTATATCTTTAACTCTTTCAAAATCTCTGTAGAGATAAGTGAGAGGTACTGTGCAGAATAAATTGTGTAATACATGTACATGTATCTGTGTATGAGTGATTGAGCATATACCATATAGCGGGTATATTTTGTCTGGAAAAATGTTCGTTCTAAGCAAGATTTAAAATTTTGTTCGTTTTATTTTCGTTCTGAGCAGCCATTTTGCACACGTGGCATTGAGGAAACGCCCTTTTTGTTTGGAAAATATTTGTTCCACAAGGAATGAGAACAAAAAGAACAAAATTAAACTTGGACAGAATATACCCACTATACAGTACATGTATGTACAATGTACATGTACACGCACAGTATGTGTATATTGTATTGATTAAATTACGCCTATCACTATCAATTGAATAAGAAAATCTCCGTTCCCAGCCTTGAAGCCATTGTGACAATCCCATTCAGCTTAATCACTACCAAAATGTCCTACCTCTGCCCCACCTACTGCATGCCTTCTACATACATTGTATATGTTTGTAGCCCTAGCTACATGTATTTAGTACCAAATCCCCAACTTTGACTGAAAAACCATTATTTTTTGGCTTAAAAACTCTCTGCCAAACCAATCCAAGTAGGAAAGAGATCAAGGGGATTTAGTGGGGCTTGACTTTATCGATATTAATAAGCACATGTATGTGAGACGGGAGTGTTGTATTTTGATGGCTTGATTTTGATTGGCACTTACTGTACAAATTAGTGTAGGAGGCTTTAAGACTTCTATGTGGAAGTGTGCCTATTTGAAAAGTGATATCATTTATTTATAATACAAATAAAAAACACTTACAGAACAATTTGATCAGATAGTTGACTTTTTCATTTACTCTAATATCTATGACTTTTCAGTTTCACAACAATCCAGCTCTGCCCATATGGGGAAAATTTGGAAGATTTGTACCATTAAATTCTCACATACATGTAGGTCCCGGGAGGGGGGGAATACAAGTGCATTATTACTCATTCAATTTGTTATTAAGGCCCCCCTGTCCCCCTGTTGGATACTTCTATAAACAATGATAAATGTTAATGAAAATACAGCTGTTAATGCGTTACTCACCCGGTAGGAGGTGCAAACAGTTTCTAGAAACCAGTAGGAGTTCCTATTACTATTCTTATAATAACGACTAATGGTCTGTTCCATGCTGAGGACTGTGCTTTATTCTGTAGCGCCACATTTATTGATTGAGGACAATCCTTTCTGACGCTGCTATTGATATCAACCAGCTCATAGAAATTCTCATGAGTTGGCTCAGGAACTAGTGGTGACACATCCTCCCTTGCTTCCATTTAGCAAATGAAATGAGCCCCACCCAGGCTGAACTTGCAATAGAGTGGGAGTGGTCACCCTTTGATCGATCGGCTTCTAAGAGAGATTCGGCAAAGACAGCAATCTATGATTCAATCGGTGCGATCATATGATCTATCTTTCTCCTGCCATGCTGGCTCACGTTACCAGGTATATATAGCTTTGGCATGCATGGAGATTTATGGTGATAGATCTTTGTATTATCAAGAGTGGATAATTATTTAGGGAGAGTGTCTAACCCGCCTATATTCTGTGATACCACAGCGCGTAAGTTTACATAGCATGGTTATTAGCA